AACAGTTCTGCAAATTGCTGCAGCTACTTTGTGACACAATGCATTTTTCAGTGACCATAACGTGATGCTAATATAGAACCAGAAATTGGCTTTGTTCAGGTGCTCATGAGGCAGTACTAAAGTCATCAAATTTCTACTTTGGAAAATTCCATCACTTCCAAGAACAGCATGCAGACCTCATGAGCCTAGTACGGTATTTCCTGTGGCTCTTATTGATACTTGTTTGTGTGTGTGTGTGTGTGTGTGTGTGTGTTGGGGGACAGGGGTAGAGTGAATTTAAAAGAGAAGTTTTCTATAAAATTTTCTTTGAAAAATCAACTATTGTTTTGAGTTTTCCTTCAAATATAGGAAGATATTTATGGTGGAGTTCCTGATCTTATTTAATTTTTTACTCTTTTTCACTTTGAGTGTGATGTGATTTTCACTCATGTCCCTAAAGTAAAGAGCAGAGAATTTACTAATCACAGAGAAAGAAAGCCTGTAAGAATTTTCCATGATTACACAACAGCTTATTTATCATGGAATCCTCACACTCACCTCAGGATGTTTTGTATGAAATGAATCAAATGCTTATAGAGCACTTTAAAAGTGATATCCAAAGTGCTGGTCCACAGTGAGATAAGGAGCTTGTCCACAGTGAGATAAGGAGCTTGTCTAGAATGGAAATCAGTGTTCCCCCCTACCCCATTTTTGTTTAGTTAGGAGAATCTTTCTACTAGGAAAAGTCAGCTTAATGACATACAAACAGTTAAATCAAACTTTCCAATGACTATGGCCTCTTAGTTTCAGTATTGAAAGACACAAGATAAGGCAGGGAGGAGGGAGAAGAAAGAGTAAGAAAGGCAGTGAATGTGATCACAGTACCTTATATTCATCTATGAAAATTTACAATGAAACATTTTTGTATAATTAATAAAAAAGAAAGAGAAAGAAGAAGGAAGAAGAGAAGAAGAATAAAGAAGAATGAAGAAGAAGAAGAAGAAGAAGAAGAAGAAGAAGAAGAAGAAGAAGAAGAAGAAGAAGAAGAAGAAGAAGAAAAGAATATGACGATGACAGAATAAAGGGTAGACAGTGTCTCTGTAGCTTAGGCAAGTTGATGATCCCCTCTGTTTCTCAGGCCCTGAGAAGAAAGGCCCCCAGGAGCATGGAGCAAGAAGGTGTGAGGCAGGACTGAATGGGTGAAAGGAGTAACCAAATGTTTGCAATGAGGGAGCAGAGGGCACACACTATCTCCTGAGAGATGCTTCAGGATAGCTGAGGCTGTAGCAAGAGGGAGATGGAGTGACAAAAAGCAGGCATGAGGTACTGACAAATGGGATAAGAGATGGGGATGGACTCCATTTGAGAGGACCATTGGGGTGGGGAGGGGGAATGGATGCCCTTGTGAGCCTATAAAACACAGACCATAAGCTAAGAGTTGCATAGGGTACTGGAAGGGCTGGGCATTGGCAGGAACATATAACAGCACTGTTGAGGTGAAATGCTGGATGAAGAGAGACTTCCTGTGGTATTCAAGGGAAATAGTAAATGAGGTAGGTAGGAATAAGCCCTGATGCTCTTGTGGAGGGAAATGCGAAGAAATTCCTAGCTCAATGATAAGGAAGCTTCAGAGTAGATATTCTCCCCACTCCTGGCATGTTAAAGAACTGGGCTGCTCCATTGCCTGGATACTCAGTACCATTACTGCTGAGACAGTATGATGAAACAGTACCTGATTATAATTACTAGCAAACATTTTTTGAGAAATATTTATATAACACCAACTGTATGCAAAGCACTGTGAGACTCTGCTGAGAACACAAATACAAAGTCATTACCTGTACCCCTAAGTATAAAGGAGAAAGTTATTCTGTTTAGAGGGAATATATTGGAAAAGAACATCATTCATATAATATGTGCTCTAAACCACAACAAAGTAAATCAATGCAAATAGCCCATTTCCTAAAGAAAAGATGCATTTTCTGCTTTTAAGGTCAATCTGGGAAAACTGGTTTTACAATTTATAGTTTTGAAGATGAAGAAATTAATTGTGGCTTTAAAAACTTATTTCTACCAGCTTTTTCTCTACTGCTTGGAATATCAAAAGAAAAAAATGTGCAAATCAATTGCAAAAAAGTTGAATACTTGCCTTGGTCTGGTTAGGGTGTCAAGTAAATCAGGTGACAGTTTAATTCCCAATGAACATGTGACAACCAAGGAGTTAAATATTAGATTTAAATAGGGCAGGTAATTCTCTGGGAGAATTATGTTGGTATCTTTATATGGGCACTCTACCTAATGAAAACATTTCTCTACTGAGCATGAGAAATTAATATATGTTCTCATATTCATGAATATTGTTGCTCATAAAAAGACCTTTTGATTTTTATCACCCTGAGTTCCTAGAGGCTTACAGAGCATTCACGGGTCAGAAGCACATGAATTATCAAGGAAAAAAGTCCCATTAAAGCAAAACTTTAATCATCACTTGAATTTTATATAAAGCTGTATCCAAAAAGGAACTGTGTGGGGTATCCATCAACATGGAATGCATAAATATATGATGGCATAATCCTTCTACAGAATATTAATTACTACTACACACACAGTGTAACACCATCTCAAGGATATTCTTGTGTGGAAGGTGCAAGATATGGAAGAATACACGCATACAGTATGAATCCACTGACATACGTTCAAAACTAGGCAATACCGAACAATCTCTTGTTAGAATTCTAGCACTGGTAGCAAAATGATAAAGAAAATGATTAACATAAAATTCAAGATGGTGGTTATCCCTAGAACAGGAGGAGAGACCAGGATACAATCAGGAAAGAGCACAGTGATGCTTCTAAGCTACTTCTGGTTGAGCACCCCTAATTCACAAACTCAAAATCTAAAGTGCTCCAAAGTCTAAAACTTTTTAAACACCAACATGACCCCTCAAATGAAAATTTCCATACTTAACCTCATGTGACTTGTCATAGTCAAAACACAGGCACACTAAAAAATACTGCATAAAATTACCTGAGGCAATGTAGGCATAAGAATCGTATGAAATATAAATGAATTTCATATTTTGACTTGGCTCTCATCCCCAAGATATCTCATTATGAATATGCAAATATTCAAATCCCCCCTCCAAAAGAATCTGAAATCCAAAACATATCTAGTCCCAACAATTTTTCAAGAAAGGGATACTCAACTTCTAATGATACTATGTTTCTTAAATGAGATGGTGGGTTCATAGGTACTCACTTTATTATTATTTAAATTGCAGAAGTGTGTTTTATATTTTCTTTTGCTTTTGTAATACAGTTGACAATTAAGAAAAAAAATTAGAGAATGGTTATTAACATACGCCCAATATTAAATATCTGCTTTGTGCTTAGCACTTAAGGCATCACACACGAGGAAAAAGGTTATATAGGGCTCTCGCTGAACCTCAGGGAGCTTATAGATGTAAAATAAAACACTATGCTGCAACATAAGGTCAACATAATTTTTCCTGGAATGATCTCTGAGGGAGTAAGGACTTGAGTGTTTATCAAGTATCTTGTCAAGACTAACACAATTTGTAACTGAAAAGAGACTTCAGGGTGTAGAAGACAAGACTCTGAATTCAGAGAGACTTGAGTTCAAATCTCAGTTCCTCCATTCCTAGACATAAATCCTTGAAATTCCTATAGACTGTTTCCTGGTTTACAAGCACAAGGAAGAAAGAGACTTCATGGGATTGTGAGAAAGAGCTAAGAGAATGCTGTTAGCTTCACATTCCATGCTCTAGAGCACATCACAACCTTTTTTTAAAACAGTAGTCCCTGGTTGTCTATGTGAACTTGTTCTAGGGCAGTCAAAAATTCAGGATACCAAAATCCAAAGATGCCCAAGTTCCTTATATAAAGTAGCATAGAATTTGTATATAATCTACACACATCTTCCCGAATTCTTTAAGCCATCTCTACATTACTTATAATACGTAACACAATGTAAATGCTATATAAATAGTTGTGACACTGTATTATTTAAGGAATAATGGCAAGTACGATTTTTTTAAAACGTATTCTATCTGAAGTTGGTTTAATCCACAGATGTGGAATTGGTAGGTATTCAGAGCCAACTGTACCACCAGTCAGGGACAAGTTGTTCAGCAAAGAATGGCGGCTGAGACCGGGGAAAATTCCCATGCTAAGGCGCTCAACATTTGAAGTGCTGGGTGGTAAGCACTCTGTCCTTCAGAATCTCCTTTTGTCTTCTCTATTAGCTCCGTCCTTTTGTGTACTGCCTTTCTCTGGTTTCTACCTTATACCGCTGTCTCCTGCTCTCCAAAAAGGCGTCTGACTGAGTGACTTTGGCCAGTTCCACTCTAGACTATAGAGAAAAATAAATAATCTCTCTTTACCAGATTCATCTATTCTTGCCTCTTCTTGGTTTTGGAGAGTCAAACCAAGATATGATTTTCAGAAAGTGGCTAAGGAAGCACAGAGTCTAGACAATTCTTATCTGAACAGAAAATGTCACTGAGGCTAAATTATAGTCTAGCCCAAGTCACTCAAAGTCTAAAAATAGGGTGAGGCCAAAGCCTTAACTAGCAATTAAGGATTTTGCATTTTCCTTGGTGTCTGCTGAGCCTCTCTCCATTAGGAGATGGTTTAGCAAAGAATGAGGAATTCCTGGTGACTCTCTGCCTTTCCCATTGGACATATGACCAAGAAATAGACGCAAAGCATTTGACTTATGAAAGGCCTACCATTAAAGTTAATTCCTTATCATTTCTCTCTGTTTACTATCTAAAAGTTGATTAATGATATTTTTCAGCCAACTGCTAGATCTAGCAATGATTGAGATCTGGAGAGTAAGCAGATAAAACCTCTTGCCTGTCATTTGGGGTAGGCTGTGAAGATGGACAATGTTCTCCTTTAGTTCACTCTGCAGAGGAGAGAATCTTGGACTTGCAAGCTCCCTACTCTCTGCATTCACCTTGACATGCTTTAATTTCAATTTCTGTGTTTGTTTTACAGTTGTTCAGCACATCAAGCGACATAACATTGTTCTGAAAAGGGAGCTAGGTGAAGGAGCTTTTGGAAAAGTTTTCCTAGCTGAATGCTATAACCTCTGTCCTGAGCAGGATAAGATCTTGGTAGCAGTGAAGGTAAGAGAACATTTGAGAATATCTCCTTATCCATGATCACAATAACATGTAGAAGTTTCACTTTATTTTATCATATTTTAGTGTTCAATTCAGGAGTAAATTGTGTCTACTAAGATGGATGTGTTTAAATCCCTTTACCTAAATGGGCAGTCAGAAGGATACTTGGGGCATATTCAACTGTTAGAGGTTCTTGTTAGGAACAAAGAATCAGTCCACAGGCTGGTAGGTATGAGCTGCTCTTTTTAGTTCTAACAAAATTCTGGGTGGAGGTCAATGTGGGATTAAACAGAATTTGATGGTTAAATCTTGGAGACTCAAACATATCTCCAATTGTTTGGTGCTTATGACACCCTCGAGGTTTCTTGCCTGTTTGAGATTCTAGAAGGAGCACATTGACTTCACTTCTTTCTCAGCCAGCCCCTGTTCCACTGAGTTCTCCTAGTATGCCATACCTTGACCATCCCAAATGTTTCCAAAGCCACAGGATTTTATTCAGCACAGGCATGATTTAATCAAGGGGTAGGTGACATATCCTGTGGATTCAACAACCCTAGCAAACATGGGGTTCCTATTAAAATAAAAAGTCTGAATGGAGGGGGTGAATTCAACTATGATAAGAACTTTTTTAAATGTCACAATACACCCTCAGTACAACAATAATATGATAATAAAAAAAAAGAAGTCTGGAAGTGTTTCATCAGAGTCAAAAAAGAGACCTGGCCGGGCACTGGTGGCTCATGCCTGTAATCCTAGCTACTCAGGAGGCAGAGATCAAGTGGATAACAGTTCTAAGCCAGCCCAGGCAAATAGTTCTGCAAGGCTCTATCTCCAAAAACTCTATCACAAAAAATGGGTCTTGTGGAGTGGCTCAAGGTGAAGGCCTTGAGTTCAAGCCCTAGTATCACAAAAAGAGACCTGTTCTTCAATAAGATCAGCAATAGTATTGAAAGGGATAAGATTTCCACTAGCTTTCTAAAACACAAGGATTAACAAAATTAGCACAAAGCACTTCAGCAGGTCTTTTACATATATATTGTCAAAATTTAAAAAAAGAAAAATTTCACCAAGGTATTGGGTAATGTATGTCAAACACTTAAAATGGCATACATTTACAAAATGAAATAAGTACAAAATGAGTATGTGCATGGCTAATGCAATAAAATTTAACTTTTTGGCTTAATATAATATGGCTGAGATTTTGTTGTATTTCACACAAACGGGGGCCATTTGTTTGAGTGGTAATTGCTTCCTAGTCATAACCATGACAATTTTTTAATTCTTTAAAAATCAGATGCATATTTCACTACTGACATGCTTAGCATTAAACTACTTTAGTACATATGAGTAGCTAAGGAAAGAAATAAATTTTTTCTTAAACATGCCCACTTTGCAGGCCCAATGGTTTCAGTTAAGTACATCCAAATAGAAAAACAAATTATGAATTTGCTTTTCTTGTCATTTGAAAGAAACTAACAGGAGTGGCAGAGAAGGGCCTTACGAGCTACATTTTTCTGTGAGTAAAGGGTAGACTCTTCTAGAGCTGATAAAATCTATAAAATAAACATCATCTCTTTGAGTTGGGAAATGGAAGGGAGCTTGAGAAAGTAGAGGGAGGAGAAGAAAGGAGATCCTAGAGAGATGTGAGGTCAAGTGGGTTGGAGGTGTCAAAGTAAATCTTGCAGAGGTTTTGGAGAGGTCTAATTTCTACTGTTGATATTACTTTCTCTTTTCTTTCATCTACTCAAAAGGTTTTGTTGTCATCTTTTTTTTCATACCAAATTTCAGAACATTTGCCAATGTTATTTCTGCAGTCTTTGCTTTTTTTTTTGTTTTTATTCATTTTTGGATAAATGGGACCAAAGGGGCCTCAATTTTTGCAAATTTATAGACTGATCAAATGTTAGATAGCTGAAAGAACAATAGGGAACATCTAATCCTAGCTGAGACGTGTGTTGTAGACAAGGAGAGTAAAGATCCTTGGTCCATCTTTTGGGCCCATGTTTTGTACTACTATCTGAAAGCCAAACAGGAAGCAGAGTCAAGCCTTCAGACCCTGAATTCATTTCATAGTGTCAAAGTGGGGATTCTTGTAAGTGTGAGAAAAACCTGGAAGATTAGGGAATTCTAGAAGAATAGCTGAGAGACCTCAGCCAGATGCAGAGAGAGTTTCAACAAGTTTCTCAATGGGTATAGTTTCTCATTTTAGTACCATTCTATTTTGTAGTTATTTCTCTGTACTTCTTGCAAGGCCCTCTAAATCCAGAAATCATCAACCCTTATGCTCAATTTCCTAATGAACAAATGCTGAAACAAGACAATGTAAGGTGAACTGGTGATAACAGTGGTTAGCCCGTTAACTGGGCTAGTTTAAAAACATTGCATTTACTTTTCTGCTCATAGCATGCTTCTGTTTGAGCATGTATTCCCACTATTGTCAGTGATGTTTTTCCATTGTCTAAATTGCAATTACAGATCTAATCCTACCTTGAACCAGACCCAGGACTTGGTCTTCACATCCCTCCTGACTTTGCCAAATAAGATTGTGCAAATTTGTGACCTATGATGAGTGTTGCTCTTTAAACAGCATTATTAGGACAAAAAGAGAAAGAGAGAGAGAGAGAGAGAGAGAGAGAGAGAGAGAGAGAGAGAGAGAGAGAGAGAGAGAGAGAGAAAGAGAAAAGAAAGAAAGAAAGAAGAAAGAGGGAGAGGGAGGGACAGAAGGAGGGAGGGAAGAAGAAAAAAGAAAAAGAAAGAAAGAGCAGGTGAAAAAAGAAAGAAAAAGAAGGTGTGGAAGAATTTGATTCTTAATCAAATTCTGACTTCTTCTTTGCTAGTCCCCTTAAGATTCAAGCTAAACTATCGTTTTCAGTAGGGAGTACAAAAGGCCTGCAAATTAAAAATTCACTTTTAACTTCATGACCACAAATCTAAGGAATCTTATCTCGATGACCGTGAATGTTAATGTTTGTTGAAACCAGAGGTTTTGATTATGAAGCTAGAATAATTCAAGCTTCAGAGAGAGTTCCCATTTTAATTCTGGCATTCAGAGCTTGCAGTCAAAATTTGAATATTCCATGAGCTCCAGGGTGAAATGGATCAGAGTAACCCATGGACCTTTCACAGAGCTTCCTCTCCAGCTTGCTATGCTCATTTTTAAGGCTTTAAGCTAATTGAAAGTGTATTCAAAGACTAAATGAGCCTGGGAGAAAATGTCTATGGTTCAGCCCTGCCTGACCAAAATAAATGGATTTTTTTTTTAAAGGAATGAAGCAAACTGAACACAGCTTCTAGGACTACACAGCCTCTCACCTCTGTGGAGTGGCTGCTGGGTTGCTCTTCTTCCATTGGAGGTACCCAGGGATGTTTGACAGCTTTTCTGCTGTTGCCTAGCAACCCCTGCAGCATTGATTATGCATGCTATGAAATAGCAGCTATTGTCCTTTTCTCTAGAAAGAGCTGACTTTGGTTTGAAATCCAAAGCTTTACCTTCAGATTGACAGATGACAGATTCCTGTAAATTCTGCTGTTGATTCTCCCAAATGATTTAAGAGCTTGGTTCAGGATGGAAGTGGTTCTGAGACACTTACAGGCATTTAAGGATGCCCAGGACCTGAGCACTCCTTTCTCATTGGAAATTTGTTTGCTGGGTTCAACTGGGTTACCCATTTCTTGATATTTTTGGATGGCCTTTGTTTTTCAATGAAATGGATTTGTCAGCCATTTTCTCCCTTTACACTAAATTACAATCTAAGAACCCATAGAAAGGATTAGAAACAGAGAACCCAGTCTTTGATCAAACCAAGTTACTTTACCTTTAAGTTACTCAATTGCCAAGGAAACACTTCACTGCAGTTTCCCCGCATTAACTGTGGGTACATTAGTTATTTTTGGCTCCACCCAGCCTGCATTTCAATAGCTACAATTCCTACATTTCCTTGTGCTATGAATGCTAGCTGATTTTTGTTTTTAAATATAACCACAAATCCGTTTTCTGGGATTCATGACCTTTCTTCCCCTTCTCAATAACTTAGGTACATTTCTAGAAATACAGAATGCTGAATTGAGAGAGACCCTAAAAATCATATGTGCGACCCAAGTCTCATGTTTTATAGATGAGAAAACTGAGATCCAGGGAAGTCAGGTGATTTCTTCAAGATGTAAGTCAAAGAGTTGGTGAGGCTGCACAGGAAAAAAACCTCAGCAAAATAAAAAATAGCAAAATCTTAGTTCACCAGTCACTCTGGGAGCTGACTTAGAATATTTACTTTTCATGTTTCTAAGTTCTTTCTTGACATGGGAAGGAAATTATGGTGTTTTACTCCACCAAGAGTTTTGGAAAAGTTAAATGATAGATGGCCTTACCAGGAGGCAGGCCCAAAGCAGCATCTAACATGTGTCACCATTTCCATGTCTGGATGGCCTCAACCCAAATCCCATTGGTCCAAGCAACTTCTACTCACCCATCATCTCTGAGTTCCAGTTGCCTCTTTGGAAGACTTGCCTTTGCCTGTCCCCTCAAACAAAATCAGATCTCTATGCTATATGCCATTAAGGCATCTATACTTGTCCTTTATAGCATTTGCCAAGATTTCTAAATTATATATGTATTTATGGACTTACAAATGAGTGACACTGAAAGCCTATTTTCTCCATTAGAGTGGTATATTCTCCAGGATGGGAGCCATGCCTTTTAGCACATTGTTGTAGCATGTGGTAACTTGTTGAATGAATGAAGGGATAGATGGATGATAGGTAGAGGGATGGATGGATACACCAGCCATGATAATAATAGTCTTTTGATAGTAAAAGACTATTGGTGTTTCTAGAGTAAGGAAGTGATTTTTAGAAACTATTGGTAGTCATAATTGAAAGACACTGTGAAGATGACATATAATAATGTAATATAGTGAGAAATAATTTTAGAAATGATTGAATAACTATATAGATATATAGAGCTATTATTGATATTCTTTAGCTTAATGCCCACATTTTACCAAATG